AAAAAAAAAAAAATTAGTTTTTCCCTTCTGAACCCCAGGTTCTATAAGACATTTGTAAGTCAAGCACCTTCATGGTTAAGAAATCATTTCCTTGGCTGTATTAAAGGCTATTAACATGACGGCTAATCAGGATGAGATAACTAGTAATAAACCATTGACTTTTCTAATTCTCGCAAATAGCCAAACAGCACAGTATTTTGTTCACTTTTGCGACCTCATTTCTAGTAATTGCAATTTGTTTTAGATTTTCTAAACAAAGGCTCCCTAACCCCTCTTTTCTTCTTTGAGATCCCTTAAAGGGTGTGTGGTTGCACATGCCATGGGACTTGGAGGGTGTTAGGGTAGAACAGGATTGAAGTGGTTGAACTTCAGGGAGGACAGACGCTTAGGTTGCCTTTCTCTGTCACATTCAGTTTGAAACCTCTCCCAACAGTCTGAGACTCGTTCCTGTCAGTGCTAAGGATATGTGTTCATTTTGCCAGGCTGGGTATCCATAATGGCAAAAGCCATGAAATCTCGCCAAATTATGGAGGCTTCACATGCTGCCAGAGTCTTGGCTAATCTAGACCGAGAAACTGTGCAAGAAAAGTACGAGGATGGCGTGTACGTGCTGCACCCCCAGCATCGAACCAGGTAAGAAAGCATAAAGCCCAGAGAGCTTACATTTTTTATTTATTTCTACATTCTTTAGATAAGGTAAATATCTTGTAAGTCAAATATCTTGTTTATTAAAACAGTTTGTCTGTAATAACCTGAGAAGAATGCTGGGCACGGTGGCTCATGTCTGTAATCCCAGCACTCTGGGAGGCCGAGGCGGGTGGATTGCTTGAGCTCAGGAGTTGGAGAACAGGCTGAGCAAGAGTGAGACCCCGTCTCTAAAACTAGCAGGCGTTGTAGTGGGCGCCTGTAGTCCCAGCTACTCGGGGGGCTGAGGCAAGGGGATCTCTTGAGTCCAAGTGTTTGAGGTGTGAGTTGTGATGCCACAGCACTCTACTGAGGGTGACAAAGTGAGACTCTGTCTCAAACAAAACACCCCTGAGAAGAATGAAGATGGCAGTGTATGAACTAGCTGAATTGTCAGGGTTATTTCATGAAGGGCTTCCACGAGGCTTTTATAATGTATTGCACTTAAGCTTTGTAATATGCATTTTCTTTCTGTCAGGGCATCTTCACTTAGATCTGAGTTAACAACTGTTTTGGAGTCTAGAAACCAGTTTGAATCGGAAGGAGATAAGACATTGTTGTACCATGTATGCGGACAACCAAATTAGCCTGGGCCTTGATCTCAAAGTGTATGCTGGGTGTATAAAAAGCATGCTTTGGAAAGTATAAGCGGTCATAAATCTCACTCATGTTCCTTCTCAAGGTTGTGGTCACTACATCTGGTTGTATCATCCCGGTATCATTAATATAGAAAGGATCACAATGAAAAACATCACACATTCATTGGATTTTTATAGGGTACTTTCCAAAAAATAACTCAGAAAATAGCAAAATCTTAAATTTGAAAAAACTAATTGCTCTGTTAATTCCAGTTTATAAATAAAATATGGTAGTGTATTTTATATATGTGTTGCATAAATGTGTGTGTGTGCTACACATAGCTTGCAACTAAGATACTGTCTACAATTTCTTATGTCATATCCAAAGAAAGAATATGTTACTTTAAAATTTAATTTTCTCTTTTTCTGATAAATATATTTTCCTTAATACATTTTTGAAAACCTCTTTCATATATCCTAACTTTGAAACTATATTACCATATTCTTATTCAATTTCTCAAGTTCTTTTATAGATTTGTAGGATATTCCCATGGAATTCTTGAGAGGGTAATTTATGACATCTGCCACTTTATAAATCACTAAGCTCATTATGATTGACTGGTTGGTCTGCCTGGCTGGATATGTTTCCATCTTTAAAGAGAGAACATTGAACTCCATGTATGTCTTTTCCAAAACTCTTTCTAGGGTTTCTCAGCAAACCTGTGCTTATAAAGCCTGCTTTAATTAAGTCTTACTTTATGTCACATAAAACTGCTAAAGCACCATCCACAAAGAATGCTGCGTAGATTCTTACCAAATGTACTTATTCTGCTTCTTTTTAAAACTCTCTCCCCTATTAGTCAGCCCATTAAAGCAGATGTCCTTTTTATTCATGGCCTTATGGGAGCAGCTTTCAAAACCTGGCGTCAGCAGGACAGGGAGCAGGTTGTAACTGAAAAGGCTTTGGACGATGAAGACAGGTATACGACTTGCTGGCCTAAGGTAAGAAAGCGGTTGACCCTGGTAGGCCACCTTTTATCTCATGACACACCCGTGCATCGTTGGCTTTTGGAGCCCTCATTGTGATTTCCTTATTTTTCTTTTTACTGGGATTTTTTCTTCCCATGGAGTTCTTTCCCTTAGGGACACTTGTAGTATAATAGCTGGCCTTATTACCCTTTGTTAAGTAATTTCTGTTTAGGGTGCAGTCTGTGATTCTGAAAGAATATTCCATCAAGTAAAAAACAGGGGCAAGAGCCAGTAATAGTTCACTTCCATTGAAACATAATACAAAAAAACAAAAACAAAACAAACAAACAAAAAAACCCATATATATATACATAAAACTATAATTGTACTTGTAATTCCATGGTCTTAATTATTAGAAAAATAGAAAGACTCTGAAGTGATTTCCACTTCAGATTTCTTTGACATTATTTCTTCCAAAGAGCCTTAACTTTAGAATGAAATTAAATGGAATTTTCCAAAAGCTCATTTAAAAGCAATACTGCATCTGTATGTGAATAGTTCCCAGGGTTTTGTTCTACTACTTCTTATTCACCTTCACACAGGCTCATCAAGTAGAAAGAATGATTTGTACTTTCTCTCTGGTAATGCCAGTGGAGCAGGGTCCACAGCAGCAGAACTGTGACTATTATTATTATTAGTGGCTCTGAATTAGTGTCTCAGGTCCCAAGTCTGTCAGACAGTGCTGTCCGAGATTATAGCTTCCTACTAAATGCTTTCAAAAAGCCAATTTGATAAAGACTCCAAAAATAGGCCTTGCTTTTAGCTATAGCAGATTAAAATTGAGAAAACTCTCTTGAAACCTTCACTGGCCTTCTGCTATAATTATTGATACCATTTTGTGACCAGAGATGTAGAAAGGTAAAATGCTAGAATTGTTTCCAGGATAACCTTCGAACTTTATTCCAGTACTGTGTTTAACCATTTGACAATATTGCAAAAGGACTTTATTTATACATTTTGAGTTACAAATTTCACTAGGCAGTGATTGGGGTGGTAGAAATTCATACATGTTCTTTTGTACCTTTTATTTTACCTAGTCATGGTTAGCAAAAGACTGTCCTGCTCTCCGGATTATATCTGTGGAGTACGACACTACCCTCAGTGACTGGAGAGCACGGTGCCCCATGGAAAGGTAATGGGATTTTAGAGTGGGAGGAAAGGGAAGGGTTCAGGGAACAAGTGGATCCTCCAGGATGGGAAGTGATTCTTATCTTTTGACCCCACAGACAGGATTTCCTTATAAAAACTAACTTAACATATAAATGTCTTAACACAATAACTAAGAAAATGCCATGAAGGCTATGTTAACCAGTGTGATAAAAATATTTCAAATTGTATAAAAAACCAGCACATTGTACCACATGAGTAAATTAATGTACACAGCTATGATTTAATAAAAAAAAAAAACCTAAACCTTTTCTCTCTTCCCTCTAGGGCAGTGGCTCTCAACCTGTGGGTCACGACCCACAGGAACTGTATTAAAGGGCCGCAGCATTAGGAAGGTTGAGAACCACGGTTTTAGAAGGAGTTGTCTCTGAATAAACAATAAGAAAAGGCTTAGATATATTGTCAATGTTGAGCTCTTAACATGCTTTATTTACAATTCTTCTTTTTTTTTTTTTTGTTCAGTTTTTGATCAGGGCTGGGTTTGAACCCGCCACCTCTAGTCTATGGGGCCAGTGCCCTACTCCTTTGAGCCACAGGTGCTGCCTTTTTTTTTTTTTTTTTTAAAGACAGTGTCTCACTTAGTCACCCAGGTTGGAATGCAGTAGCCTCATCACAGCTCACTGCAGCCTCAAACTCCTGGGCTCACATGATCCTTCTGCCTTAGCCTCCCAAGTAGCTGAGACTACAGGCAGCCACCACCATGCCTGGTTAATTTTTCTATTTTTTTGTAGATACGGGTTCTCACACTTGCTCAGGCTGGTCTCAAATTCCTGGCCACAAGTGATCCTCTCACCTCGGCCTCCCAGAATGCTAGAATTACAGGCGTGTGCCCCAGTGCCCAGCCGTTTACAACTGTGCTGATAGTTAAGGACCATGGATTCTCTAGCAAAGTTTTCTTTTGTACTGAAAGTAAAATGATATTTTTGGCTTTTGTAGTCACAATCATACTGGCTAAAGTAAGCAAAGAAAAAGATGCTGAGCACTGTCAGCTTCTGTATCCCTTATATGTCCTCTGTGTCAGCTGCGTACACAGGAAGGAGCCCTGATTTCCGAGTTACAGGACCAGGATTATAGCAGGACCCTCCCTGTGACTCGCTGTGCAGCCTTAGACAAGCCAGTGAGCTTGCCTGGAAAGTTCTGCCCACGACTGAATCAGTGTCATCAAACTGCTTTGTGAATGGACCCCACATATGTGCCTGAGAAGGGTGTGTAAGTGGGCAGAACCCCAGGTCTCCTGCCCTGTTTCACTCAGAGGAGCTCTGGAGAACCTTTATTTTAAAGAAATTTATCTACAGATAAACATTTTGAAACTATCAGACCAGATAGTTTTGAAGTTCCCTTTTTGTTTAATAATTATTTTATATGAATTATCTGATTCTAATAGTGTCCAAGCATTTATAAGCCCAAATGACTAGAGCTTAATTTTTACAGCATAAATGCATATAGAACTAAAACTCACCAAAGGGATGGCACAGTCCTTAGTGATGCTTTCATTGTTGGGCCCTGGACTGAGAAAGGACATCCATGTCCTAAATGGTGGGAATAGGCTGGGTGAGTTGCAGGTTTGACCTGTAAAAATTACCAGACACATATTAGATGCCCACCAATGCTTATTTAATATGTGAATGGTCTATTCTGAGCTTAGATGCTCCTAATTATGCCAATCTTAATGTTACAAATAGAGATCAAACAATTTCAGAAATGAGCAGAGGGAATAGGGGTATTCCTAATTCCAAAATGTAGTAAGTAGCACAGGTCTTACAAACAAAAGCTCTTGACTTAAAATATCAGATTGCAAAATAGGGGACATTAGCAGTCTCCTCTAATGCCTGCTTTCTGTTTTGTTCAGAAAGTCCATTGCATTCAGAAGCAGTGAAATTCTTAGGAAGCTCAGAGCTGCTGGTGTGGGGGACAGGCCAATGATTTGGGTATCACATAGCATGGGAGGTAAGTGTGGCTTCATCTTTGCAAACAGACCATTGTGAGGCTATTGTCAGTGATTGTGGCCAACCTGAAATTACTGCATCTGTTTTACTTAATAACAGCCTCCCCCCCCTTAATGTTTCTGGCCATAGCTAGGAGTTTTTAAATTACCACTATCCTTCCATGCTATTTGTTTTTCTGGAAGGGGACAACTTGTGACAAACCATGTTAAGAGAAACAGGGGTTTGCCCATGTAGTGGTAATGAATGAATATCAGGAGCAGTCCCTGGCTCATGTTAGCCCAACTTGTAAACATCCCTCAGCATTCCTGGGCTCCCCTTTCAACCTCCTGCTGCCTCACTACTGTGCAGTACGTTGTTGCTCTGGAGCCCACAGCCCTATCCCCCTGGTGCCTGCCTGCTGGTGTCAGGCCAGGGCTGCCACTGCGTGTCTGCTCTTGGGGTCCTGGTGCTGGCTTATTGAGTCACATCTTCTGATCCTCCAGCCCACTCTCCCCATCCAGTTCCGAATTTTCACTACCCACTCTCAGATGGCCTTTGTGCAGCCCCTGGCCTAGCTCATCTGATGAAGTACTCAGGATTGCCAACTCTGAACCAGGCCTTTTGTTGTAAGAAAGGTGGATGTAGCCTTTGTGGTCCCAGAGACCCACTGCCATCATCTGTGTGACCTTTGTGTTTCACCATGGGTTCCACGTCTGGGGTTGGGGGGATGGAGAAGAGTGTGCCTTCCCAGGTACAGTTCCCACAGAAGCTGTGTTTTTCATAGTGTGACCGTGTATTTCTGAATGTCAGTGCGGTCGTAGAGGTATGGAGGGTAGAGGACCGTTCCTGCTGGGGAGCCTGGCCACTGCATGCAGAGGCGCCCACCTCAGGCAGTGCTCCGCATTCCTTCTGTGGGACGAGAGATTCTGGGATATATGTATGATCCCTACAGATGAGTTCTGGAATCTGACCTATTTGTAATTTGTACTATAAATTCTGGAGGATCAGGAGTATTATCTAGTGTTAATATTATAAGGCTCTGTTTCTTGTACTAACATACAGAGGATTATTGTACAGAAAGCATCTCTTTCCATGTGTTTCTTATTTTGCCTTTTGTTTTCTTTTTTTCTTTAGAATAATAGAGGGAAGGAACATAGCTTATGTATTGTTTTTCTTTCTTCCCTGTGGCCAGGTCTTCTTGTTAAAAAGATGCTGTTAGAAGCCTCCCAGAAGCCGGAAATGAGTACTGTTATAAACAATACCAGGGGAATCATTTTTTACAGTGTCCCTCACCGTGGATCACATTTGGCTGAATACTCCGTTAATATTCGCTATCTTCTCTTCCCGTCTTTGGAAGTCAAAGAACTCAGCAAGGGTAATACTTTCTGTCACAAAGAATGGGGGGGTCATCCTAAGATCAGTTCATAGGAGAAGGAGAAAGACGTTTCTTCCTCAAGTACATTATCTCATTTTATTACTTGTTTGTAATTGTTTAGACAGTCAAGGAAAATTTTTGGTTTGGGTCACTTTTTTTCTTTGATACCTTATCTTTTTGTTTTTGAGCCCTTATTTACTCAAGTATAGCAATAATTTTAATATTATATTAAACACTTAAAATTAGAAAAATTGTATAACATATTGCCTTAAGTTTTATTTCAAAACATCAACAAACTGCTTTTCTCCCCATGAGTTTGGAAAATCAATTGTTAAAATATAAGTGAGCTTTTGAGACTTCTAACATTAATTTTAAAGCACTGCATTTGTTTTTGATCAATAGCATTTTCTCTCAGGAACACCTGTTAATCAGAATTTGGACTCTGGCTTGAGCCTTACAATGTCAGTTGTTGGTATTTTCTCTCTGTTTTGCTTGATGGAGAAATTATTAATTTTATCTTTTCTTTTTTCTTTTTTTTTTTTTTTGCAGTTTTGGCTGAGACTGGGTTTGAACCCACCACCCCCGGTATATGGGGCTGGTGTCCCACTCCTTGAGCCAAGGGACCGCCTTGATTTTATCTTTTCAACCTTCTGTTGAGTTTTACTTTTTGGGAGTCAGATTTTATTTTCCACAAGTATTTATTTATTAATTATTTGTTCATTCACACACACATATACCTACATAGTCTTAGTCACCCTTGGTAGAGTGCTGTGGCATCATGGCTCACAGCAACCTTAAGCTCTTTGGGCTTAAGCAGTCCTCGTGCCTCAGCCTCCCGAGTAGCTGGGACTACAGGCACCCCCCACAACGCCCAGCTAGTTTTAGAGACGGGGTCTTGCTTTTTGTTCAGGTTGATCTGGAACTCCTGAGCTCAGGCAGTCCACCCGCCTTGGCCTCCCAAAGTGCTGGGATTAGAGGCGTGAGCCACTGCACCCGGCCTCACAAGCTCTTTCTTGTTCTAAATTTTTCTTTATTCATGTTCTCTTCTTTTCTTTTGTGGCTTGATTATTTTTTCTAGTCATTCTAAAGATAGTAATTTCTCTTTCTTTTGTTTCTTCTGTGGTTCACTTTTCTGAATGTCTGGTCGGTTTGCTTTAGGTCATGTGGGCTTCTGCTAGTGTCTGTGCTGTTTGGTTGCCCTTTCACATGTGAGGATGAGGGGATGGAAGAGGTGTGCACTCTGACTACAGACAGGCTTGTTGATGGGGGGCTGGGCCTCAGGGTGGGGTGGGGTGGGGGGGCCATCACACTGGGAGACACCTCTAGTCCTCACACCACACTGCCCCGGGTGCTGCCTGCTGTCAGCTGGGAGTGTGGTTAACCTCTCCTTCTGATAACTGGCTTCTCAATTCTTTGTTGGGTTAGTCCTTTGCTTGGCAGGGAGAGAAAATAAACATGTATACCCAAGCCACCATATTGAATCAGAATTCTAATTTCCTCCGTAAATTTCAAAGATGAATGCATTTTTTTGGTGAGTTGGGCAAACAGAACTTGTCACAATCTTGTTCTATTATAATTTTACAGATTCTCCTGCACTTAAAGAACTACAGGATGAATTTCTGGAGTTTGCTAAAGACAAAGACTTCCAGGTGCTGAATTTTGTGGAAACACTACCAACCTACATTGGCAGCATGATTAAACTCCATGTGGTGTCTGTGGAATCAGCAGGTATTCACTCTTTGGAAACTTGATGGCCATTAGATGCTTAGTTGATTATACCTAGCATTTAATTGTACATGTCAGTTTTCATATCCAGTTTCTCAGTTTTAAGAGATAGTTTTGTGATAATCTAGATGAGAATTCTATAATACTATTCTTTTCAGCCATAGATTAAAATTTCTCTGTAAACATACATATAACCTTGGCATTATCCCTCCCACCTTTATTTAACTGATTAGATGATAAAGGTTACTTTGCTAACTCTTTAAGTTAGCGTAATATGAAGCTCTTCTATCACCTAGACTTATAGGGGCATTTATGTAACAGATTGATAGTGACACGTAGAAGCCTTGAAACAATCAACCAAAGATGTGGAAGCTTTAGTAAAAGGACGAGATATGTGACTTCAAGCAGAAAGTATGCCAGCGGGAAAAACAAGTGTTAAAGAACACTTCATAATCCTAGACTTGAGGGAAACGGTTAGTACCTGCTGCTACTGGTGTACTGGAATGCATTATAGGCTCTCAAGGATAGGACCCAGACCCTCACTTTCTTCACAGTACATACCTGGACATTTCACTGAGTTGCTCTTCCCTTAGCTAGCCGCTTCCTCAACTTGCTTGTCGTCTCTAGGAGGCCTTATCACCTCTTGGGCCAGGTTCTGCACTGTGCTGACTCAGCAGCACTGAGAGTCTTTCCAGTCAGGGACATTGTGTTCTGGTGTGTCTACCACAGGAGTCTCCAGTTCAGATAATGACTTTTGTCCTAATTTCATTATATACTACCTAAATAAAATGAAAAATATTACTTTATAGTGGAGCCTAAGAAAATTTTACCTCAAAGTAATATGGTGTAGGTTAAGGAGTTACTATTTAGTAGTTAAAGAACTCAAAGCGCTGAAAGAACAGCTACCAGATGCTTTTTAAAAAGGAGTTTGGAAGCTTGAAGCAAAAACAAAGTTAATCTCGTAGACCAGCTGCTTACCGTGGCATAGCCTTGTCCTAATTCTATCACCAAGAGGCTCTTCTTCCTCATCTCTACCAGCATTGCTCTCCTAGGTGCCTCCCTAGTACCTCTCAACCCTACCGGCCAGCTGGACTTTGTTAAACAAAATATCAGAAACCCGTCCAAGCCTCCAGCAGTTAAGCACTAGGTCATCTTGCCCCCTGGTAGGTGCATGGGGATTTGGTGTAAAATGAGTCCCATGTGAGACCTTCCCATTCTTTTCATCAGGACAGGAAAGCTTGTTATGAAATGTGTCATATACTGGATGGAATCATTTAATAATCACCTGCAGGTGTGAGAAGGTTTTGCGCTCAGGCTTTGTTCACTATGAAATTAGGAAGTAGCCAGAACACATAGAAGGATTTGTGAAAAGTGGAACACTGATTGTACTTACTGAGACTATTCTTGGCAGGTTGGTCAAGGGTCGTTTTAAGCTACAAACTTTAAGTTTCTCTATTTTTTAAGAGTTCTTTATCACAACCAAAGCAACATAAAACCACTCATTTGGCCTCTTTCAGTGTTGACAAGCGGGAAGCATATATTTTCTATTAAGTTTATTGACATTTTTCTTTTCTTCAGACTTAGGCATTGGAGCTCTAATTCCTGTGGATGTTAACCATTTGAACATTTGTAAGCCAAAGAAAAGGGATGCTTATCTGTACCAACGTACTTTACAATTCATCCGTGAAACTTTAGCCAAAGACCTTGAAAAGTAGCAGAAACTTGGTGTTTTTTCTCTTTTTAAGTTACAAGCAATCATGCAAATATAGTCATTTTGGCATCAGCGTGGTCTGGAATGTGTTGCAGACAACAGAGTATTCTCCACTGTACAGCACAGGAGCGGCAATCACAGAAGAAAGGGCTAGACTGGGTGCTTTCGACTTAAATCCCTTCCGTGCCGCTTACAGTTGGCAGCGCTGGGCCTCGTGGCTGGGAGCAAAGCTGCCGTGGCGGAGTAGCCTTTCCACCTGCCACTGCCTCAGTGCATCCCTGGGGATCACTGGCAAGTCCTGAAGGGAGAGCCACTGTCAGCCCACCATGACAATGCCATCAGGAGAGCACCTCAAGTGGAGACAAGAATGAACCAGAACAAGAAAGACTGTTTTAGTTCTAGGTATCCACATGCTGTCTAATTTTAAAACATGTCAGTCTTTTAAACTTTTAGTTTTTAACTAAAAGTTAAACCCTTTGTATAACACATTACTACTGGTAGTAACTCTGTCAGACCTATTGTCCTGTATGGGTTAGTTCTTACATTTTCCATTTTCATATTGCAAAGAACAAGTCTTTTTCCTTTTTCCTTTTTAAAAAAGTTTAGTTTACAGTAATTCTTTACAGGTTGCAGCTACATATGCTTGTAATTTCTCCTAGATAAGGATAAAGTAGCTAATCCATTATCGATCAAAGGTGAAATACAACTATTCAAAGCCATTATATCTATTAGGAATATTTAGTATCAAGATTCTTGAATTCTCTTTGGCTGAATAAAGTATACCTTTCTTTTTTGCTCATTTGGAAGTGGTATTAATTGACCTCTAATGTGAAAAATAGCACATCACATTGGACTTTTTTCTCTTTTGAATAATAGAATTACTGAGATATAATTCATATACCATAAAATTCATCATCCTTTTAAAGTGTACAATTCATTGGTTTTTAGTATTTTCACAGTTATGCAACCATTGTTGCTACCTGATTTCAGAACATTTTATTATGTCAAAAGGAACTCCATACCCATCAGCAGTCACTACCCGCCCCCCCCCTTTCCCCAGTCCTTGGTAAACACTACTTTACTTTCTGTCTGTGGCTTTGCCTCTGGGGTGCACCATATAAATGGAATCATACCATATGTAGCCTTTGCCTGCCTGCCTTCTCTTTTTCAAGGTTCATACATGATTTACGAGGTCTGACAATTAAGTTCAAGAACTCATCCTAGAAAAAAGTGCTACATACCTCATTGCTGAATATCACCATGGTCATCTTTGAGGTCCTCCCCTTGGGAAGCTGTGCACTGATGCCAGTGCCTAGTCCACCCTTCAAAGCAATTCTGAAACTCTTTTTCTGGGATGACCAGCAGAGCTGTTATCATATGGCACACAAAAGCATGTGACAATAATGAACGCCACTCAGCAAGACACACCACATGTGTATGTGCACACAGCTGTGAGACACTGACCACCTGACTGAGTTGTTCACACAGTGCTGCCAGCATAAGCGCACAGTGACAAGTTCACAACGTCATTGTCAGACTTTGTACAATGATGCCTCTAATGGTCATTCCAGAAAAGGAGTTCATATTCTGCTGTGAAGGGTGGACTGGGTGCTGGTGTCACTGCATAGCTTAAGGGGAGTACTTGGAAGGTGACCATAGTGATACTCAGCAATGAGGTATGTAAAATTTTTTCTAGGATGAGTTTGTAGAACTTAATTGTCAGACCTCATAGCATGTACCAATGCTTCATTCCTTTTTATGGCCAAAAATATTTTATTATATGCCACATGTGTGTGGACATCTGGGTCTGTCCAGGTTTTGTCAGTTGCGGGCAATGCTTCATGATCATTTGTATACAAGTTTTTTGTGTGGACCAGTTATTTTAGTTTTTTTTTTTTTTTTTTTTCTCCTGGAGGCAGGGTTTTACTCTATTGCTCAGAGCTGGAGCACAGTGGCATCATCATGGCTCACTGCAACCTCAGACTCCTGGGTTCAAGCTCTCCTTCTGCCTCAGCCCCCACAAAGAACAGGGACTATACACATGCACCACCACATTGGGCTAACTTTTAAATTTTTTGTAGAGATGAGGTCTTGCTATGTTGCCCAGGCTGGTCTCAAATTCCTGGCTTCTAACAATCCTCCTGCCTCAGCCTCCCAAAGTGCTGGGATTAGAGGTATAAGCTACCGTGTGTGCCTGGGCAGACAATTTTTAAAAGGCTTTTCTTCTTCCAGCACATGGCTTGTGGTATAGGGCCGGTATTAACATTTCTGATCCCACTTACCCTCCTTAGCTGGGTATGTTTGTACAGGGTTCCACTTTGAGATAATTTGTAGACCCGAAAGAAACTACCAAGAAATGGAGCTGTGGTTTTGGCAAATTGCTACGGTGAGGAGGAGAGAAATTAGGCCAGGGCTTGCCAAGGGAGTTTGAAGTCCCACACATAACATTAAGGTGGGCTGGCAAAGGGCTGTATGTACCAAACGAGAGGGTAGAAGGAAACACTGTTGATGGCGCTTGGGTGATTCCAGGAGGCGTAAGTAGAACTTGAATTAAAAGACTCCCAGACTGGTGTGTCCAGTCTGCATCTGTCAAAAGTAAAGGAGGAAGGTACACTCATCTCACCCCTTAAATTATTTCTACAAATAGCTTTTCAAATAACATAGTGACTAGTCAAAGATAACCAGGTGGACAAGGATGTAAGATGCTGTGAATGGGAAAACAACCCCTCCCCCACCAAAAACCAAAACAAAACAAGGAACACATTTGAGATGGCCATGCCAGAGGTGACCAGACAACTCTGCTTAATGCTTAACGGTGGAAACATCTTCAGAAATAGAGAACTACATAGTGACTTTTAAAAGTTCCAAAATTAGATTCTAGACAAGAAAGCTAAGGCTGTACATGAAGATAAACTCAGCAAAAGAATTTAATAAAGGGTATCTAAAGAAAAAACCCAACAATTAGCATCATACTTGATGTTAAAAATATTAACAGTTTCTTTTTGAGAACAGGAAACACAAGAATGCCTATAACTGGCATTTTTACTTTTGTACTAATGCCCTACTAGCTCTGTAAAGGCAAGAAAAAACAGACACAACGAAGAGAAAGCAGCAGCAGAATTCATTGTTTGCAGATAAGATTGTCTACATATAAAATACAAAAGAATCAACAGGATTCTCAATTGCAGGAGACATTTTAACGTATTTTAATATGTCTGTAATTAGGCTGCATCTCATAATAGATGGCAAATGATAATTTAGTTGGAAATTTTCTTAAAAATAATGGCATAGCTGGCTGGGTGTGGTGACATGCATCTATAGACCTAGCTACTCAGGAGGCTGAGGTGGGAAGATAGCTGGAACCCAGAAATTTTTTTTTTTTTTTTTTGAGACAGAGCCTCAAGCTGTCCCCCTGGGCAGAGTGCCGTGGCATTACAGCTCACAGCAACCTCCAACTCCTGGGCTCAAGCGAGTCTCCTGCCTCCGCCTCCCAAGTAGCTGGGACCACAGGCGCCCGCCACAATGCCCGGCTATTTTTTGGTTGCAGCCATTGTTGTTTGGCGGGTCCGGGCTGGGGATTTGAACCCGCCACCTCAGGTGTACGTGGCTGGCGCCTTAGCCGGTTGAGCTATAGGCGCCGAGCCTGGAACCCAGAAATTTGAGATCAGCCTGGGCAACATAGTGAGAACCTGTTTTTTAAAATAATGGTGTATAAAAAGGTGGGTGCAGTGGCTCAGACCTATAATCCCAGCATTTTGGGAGGCTGAGATGGGTGGATTTCCTGAGCTCAGGAGTTTGAGACCAGTGTGAGCAAGAGCGAGACCTCATCTGTAAAAATAGCCAGGCATTTTGGCAGGTGCCTATAGTCACAGCTACTCAAGAGGCTGAGGCAAGAGAATTGCTTAAGTCCAAGAGTTTGAGGTTGCTGTGAGCTGTGACACTAGGGCATTCTACCAAGGGTAACAAAGACTCTGTCACAAAAAAGAAAGTGTCTAAGTAATGTATCTATTAGTTGATGGTACATTAGGTGTATTAAAATATAGTAAAGTTGTTACAATTTTATAAGTTTGGTAAATTTACTGATGCAGTCAATGCACAAAAACTTTTTGGAGACAAAAGAGTCTCTCTCTGTTGCCCTGGGTAGAGTGCCGTGGTGCCATCAAAGCTCATAGCAATTTCAAACTCTTAGGCTCAAGAGATCCCCTTGCCTCAGCCTCCTGGGTAGCTGGACTACAGGCACCCACCCCCACCACAACACCTGGGTAGTTTTTCCATTTTTATTGGAAATGCAGTTTTGCTCTTGCTGACACTGGTCTCTAATTCCCGAGTTCAAGCAATGTACCTGTCTCAGCCCCCCCCGAGTGCCAGGATTATAGCTGTGAGCCACTGTGCCCAGACCCAAAAACTTTTCTATGTTTAAATATACTAGCAAAAAATCATAAATGAATTTTAAATAAGAATTGTTAGAAATAATCATGGTATTAAGATCATGAAGAAAATGTTATTCAGAATATAAAGTATTTCAGAGTCAAATAGGAGAGCAAAATATTAAAATATTTCAGCAAAAGAAAAAATATAGCAAAGGAGAAATAAAGCAAAATGTTAATTATTGTTAAATCTATGTAATAGGTATATGAGGATCCAAACTACTGTTTGATTTCATGTACGTTTGAAAAATTTTTTTTTTTTTTTTGAGACAGAGCCTCAAGCTGTCCCCCTGGGAAGAGTGCCCTGGCATTACAGCTCACAGCAACCTCCAACTCCTGGGCTCAAGCGAGTCTCCTGCCTCTGCCTCCCAAGTAGCTGGGACCACAGGCGCCCGCCACAACACCCGGCTATTTTTTTTTTTTTTTTTTGGTTGCAGCCGTCATTGTTGTTTGGCGGGTCCGGGCTGGGGATTCGAACCCGCCACCTTAGGTGTACGTGGCTGGCGCCTTAGCCGGTTGAGCTATCGGCGCCGAGCCTGAAAATTTTTATAACAAGTAAAAAACTGAAAAACATCAATGAGGGCCCTAGATGGAGAAATATGCTGTGTTCTTGAAGACTCTTGAAGGTTATAAAGAAGTCTATTCTCTTCTATGCAGTCCCAGTCAAAAATTCCAGTATATTTTTTAAATGGAATTTAATTGATTCAGAAATGAAATCGGCTTCAAAAATCAACCCTCCACCTGGATGCAAAGCAAACCTTAATTTTAAAAAGGAGATTGTTCTTCTAGGTCACATTCTCAGGTCATTGTTATTCTCGGTCACATCCTCGGGTCATGCTCCAGTAAAATTAAGAGTAAGCAATTTTAAAATGTCCAGAAAATCCCTTAACTACTTGGAAATTATAAAGTCTCCTAAATAACACTTGGATCAAAGATAAAATAAAAGCAAATTATGATCTAGCAATTAGTGACAAGAATATTTAATGCCCAAATCTGTAGTACAGATTACAGTTAAAGCTATAATGAGGGGAAAATGTATAACTTTAAATATCTTTATTGTTAAGTATTAAAGACTAAAAAAAATAATGGAACCTAGTGTTACTTTTAACTATGATTAGGAAAAGGACAAAATTCAACAAAAAATAGAAAATGGATACAAATTAAAGGTAAGTTGAAATTAACTGAAGATGTTTAAAAACTGAGAGAAAAATATTTTTTAAACAATAGATATATAAACCCAAAGTTTATTTATTTATTATTTTATTTCTTTATTTTTTTGGACAC